GGCTTTGAACTCGCGATCCTCCTCTCAGCCTCCCAAGCCACTGGGATTACAGGCATGCGCCATGGTGCCTGGCTAAGCCACAGTCTTTTTAAGTAACAGAACATTTATGCTCAGGACAAAGTGAATGTGCTTGCATTGCCATAAGCACTATCACCATAGCCATTATTTCCCTGGGCTGTGGCCAATAATGAAGGTAGGTAGAGAGTTTTCCATGGACCAATAAACAAGGAATCCTCATCTCAATCAGAGAGCAGAGCCACAGACTAGCTGCTGCTCACACTCCGGGATTTTCTGCTCTTTTCTAGCACACCCCCTCATCCAGAGGAAAGCTACATGTCAGCTCCACATGGTTACAACTGGAAGTTGTTCTTGGATTAAACACGTGTGGGACATTTGCTGCTGTGAGGCGTGTGGGCATGTGTGTGTCCACCACCATCATCTCTTGGCTAGATTATTGCAGTCAGTTTCTAATGGCTTCCCTGCTTCTGACCTTGCCCTCTACCCCCAACCTACTCTGATACAGCAGGCAGAGTGCTTCTTCCAGAATGTAGGTCACACTTTCATCCAAACCCCTCATCTCATTCTGAGAAAAAGCCATAGTCCTTACAGCAGCCTATAAAGCCCATGATCCCACCCTTTTCTGCCTCCCTAGTCTCATCTCCTAACTCTCCCCGCTGCTCACTCCACTCCAGCCATGTGGGCCTCTTGCTACTCCCCCACTGCCACTCAGGGCCTTTGCACTTACAGTTTCCCCTCCCTGCAACACCCTTGTCAAGGTAGACTCATGGTTTGCTACCTCACTTCTTTCAAATCCCACCTTACCAGGGAGCCTTCAACAACCACCCTGCATAAAATAAGTCTCCCCCACTGGCACTCTCCAGCTCCCTCACCTTCATGTTTTTCTTTAACACTTAGCATCAGACTTACACATGCTCAGTTGTTTATTTTCTGTTTCCTGTCACTCTACAGGCCCATAAGGACAAGGATTTTGCCTGTTTATTCTCTGTTCTATCCCTGTGTCTAGAACAGTTTTAGGTACACAGTAGGAGCCTAAAAAAAAAAGTGCTTCTTTCTTCCTTTTCTTCTTGTGTTAAGGATCAAACCCAGGTCCTCATACATGCTGGGCAAGCACTCTGCCACTGAGCCACATCCCCAGCCAGTGAGCCTCTTGAATCAGGAGCTGACTCTATTGCTGCACGGCAACCATCTGCTGTCTGAAGGGCCCTGAGCATGAAGGCCTTGCCTGAGGGTTGAATGCAGTGGAGCAGCACTGCTCAGTGCTGAGGCATCTGAGAGGCCTTGTGTGTGGAGGGGTGGCAAAGCGAGTGCAGGTGGCAGGTGGCAGATGGTGGGGTGCAGAATGCCAAGTCTAGCTGGGCATGGTGGCGCATGCCTGTAATCCTAGCCACTTGGGAGGCTGAGACAGGAGGATCGCAAGTTCAAAGACAGCTTCAGCAACTTAGCAAGGCCCTAAGCAACTCAGAGAGACTCTGTCTCTAAATAAAAAATTAAAAGGGCTGGGGATGTGGCTCAGTGGTTAAGTGTCCCTGGGTTCAATGCCTGGTACCAAAACAAAAAGCCAAAACATGTGTGCATGTGCGCGTGTGCACACACACACACACACACAAACAAAACAAAACAAAACAAAACAAAACAAAAAAAACCAGAATGCTAAGCCTTTTGACATGAGTGGCATGGGCCATTTGATATTGATGAGTCGTCCTAGTGAATGGTTGTCTGGGGTCCAGGTTCATGGTGTCCCTGACCTGGGTGGACCCAGGTGCTTTGAGGATGGGGACCAAAGGAATCCCAGGGATTCTGCCTCCCTACTCTTCAAGGACAAGTTGGAAGCAGGTCTTGGTCTCAAGTCTACAATAACAATTGTTTCTAAAGTTTCTCTCCTCATAGATATCAGCCTCTCAGCCTGAGACATGTCTCATGGTGACTGAGTCATGCGTCGATGACAGTGGTGGGCATGTGGGTGGTGGGTGGCTGGGCCCATCGATCCAGGGCTGAGACATTCTTTCCATTAGTCAACAGGTTAATAAATTCTCTGATGAGGAGGTGGTGATTAATGAGCCAATCAGCGTGCCCTGTAATTGGGGAGTGGAGCTGGGGTTATGATGGATGGGAAGGGCTTGTGAGGATGTGGGAGGCAGGCTCCTGATCCACACTGAGGGACCACCTCAGGCCCCACTGGTTTTTACTTTTAAGGTACATGGGGAAGTGACTTCTTCAGAAGTTGTGCAATGAATGTGGGCCTTCTCCTGTGTCCTCTACCTTCTCACTCTTCTCCTTTCCTCCCGTTTGTCCTCAGGCCCTGCAGTCCCCAAGGCTTGAGCAGGTTCCAGGGATGTCAGATTTTCTGTGTGCTCCTTACAAGCTCCTTCACCTCTCTCCTCCAGGTTTAGCACCAAAGAAACCTCCTTCACCACCCTGGCTAGTGCTGCGAGGTCAAAGATCACCCCCACCCCCACATATCCTTGCCCCTTCAGCAGGCGGGTCCCTGTCTAGAGCCTGACCCTGGGGTCACAGCTGTCTTTGGATGTATGTGATGCTGGGGATCTGAACCCAGGACTTTGTACTTCACAGCTGTCTTAACCATTCTCCTGGCTTTGGTCATTCTATGAAGAACTAGAATTCTTTTATTTCTTCCATCTCCTCTCCAATCTGGGCACAGGCTTATCCCTGTGTTTGTGCTCTGGGAACTCCTCAGATGGGATTTCGAGGGATAGTTGAGTGCCTTCCCCACCCAGGACTAGGGGTCCACAGTGATCAAACTGTGCCCCTCACCTCAGACTGGGGGAACTCAAAGATAAACCCTTGACTCTTCTCTGACACTAGGGCTGTTGGAGGACAAGGCTGGACTCCCTAAGAATGATTTTTCTCTTCCCTCTGAAGGTAGGTTCCATATCCCCTTGTCCCAGTGTCTCCTTCCATTTCCATGCTTAGCAAGTGCCCTGGTGTTTCTTGGGTTGTACAGGGGCCCTTTGGGCTTGACTAGCTGATAAAGAGCCATTTCCGGAGAGTGCAGGTGACTGAACCCATAAAAAGGCAATTGAGGGATCCCTGGACACTTCCTCTCAGGAGAACTCTAAAAATAGCACCCACAGCCATCTGTCCTGGGGAGTGGAGGGGCTGGCCCAGAATGAGGGGCCTGGACAAAATGACTCCTCTTGCCTCAATGGACTGATGAGAATGGAGTATCTAGAAACAGAAGGCTCTGGCCAGGCCTTGTAGAGGAAGCTGGAAAGAGCTTTATGGGGAGACTCCCTAAGAGACCTTTCTCTTCCTGGGGGTAAGGTGGGTCTGATCGATTGGCAGTCTGGGTGCTTCCCCGACCCAGACCTCTCAAAGTGGGTGGTGGCCCAGACAGCTTCCTATCTCCTGCTCTCATGCCTGACTCCAGAGCTCAAGGTGCAGAACCTGTTTGCCCTCAGGATTGAGGGGACTTCTTCTTGGGGTCTTCCCCACCCTCTTCCTCTATGACCATCACCTCTCAGAGTTTCAGTTTTCTCACCTGGAAAATGCAGATGAACTCAGTTCATGGGTTCATGGTGCTGTTGTACCAGAAATGATGACCTCCCTAGCACACAGGAGGTGCACAGTTAATGGTAGTCCTTTCTTATTTCCTTCAAAGGCTCTGAGTGAGAATATTGACCCCAAACCCCAGTGAAAGCTATAATGGGCTGGGGACAGTGGCATATGCTTGGCAGCTTGACATCACTCAGCCAAAGAAAACACCAGGTATCCTGAATGACATGGAGATGGGGTTGGGGGCTCTGCCTTGGGAGGGGACTCTATGGAGGGCCCAGCTGGACCAGATTCTGTATGTGCCAAGCTGGATGTAGAGGTGGCTCATTCAGCTGTTTCTGCCTCCTACCTCTGTCCCCAACTCTTAATACAGAATGGATATAATGGAATATCCAGAGAGGCCTCTCCCCAAAAACATCATAAGCAGCAGGTCAGGAGCCAAGGTCATAAGCTCCTACCCTGACTCCAGAAAAGAGACTTTCCCCCCACAGGGTCCTGTCACTCCTGGACCCTTATCAAAGGCATTAGCAAGCAGAAGCTGAAGACAAAGACCTCCTGGAAGGAGCAGCCACGGGTTCCACAGGCTGGAGGAGGCCTGTCCTCCCTCAGGTTCCCCATTCCCACCTAAGGACAGGCTAGGGAAGATGGACTCACATCCCTGGTCCTAGGGGCTACCCCAGGAGTCTAGATCCGAAGGCCTCACATCTTTAGGGGGCTAGACCTGCCACTGCGGGGCTGTGGGGTAAAAATAGGGTTTAGAAGAGGCAACCAGTCCGTTGGGACCCTGAGTCTGAGCACGGCAGCTGCCTCCTTAGCTCCTGCGAGGTGGAGACATCACGTCCTGGCTGGCTGTAAACTCTGCGAGTGGCAGGGGTGGAGGAAAGAAGGAGGAAGGGCCCTCCCCTGCCTGCTCCCCCTCCCCTCGGACTCCCCCTCCCTTTCCAGGCCGGGATATAAGCCCCGCGGGAAAAGCGCTGAGCAGAGGCCGCATCTCCACCTACAGCAGTCGTGTCCTTGGGACTGCCTGTACCTTCCACCTCCTGCTCATCTCGCCTTGGGAGCTATCGCTGTGAGTGGCTGGGGATCAGGAATGGTCTGGTAGTGAGTTATTTTTTGGGGAAACTGAGGCCTGGCTGGTGGCAGCTGGGGCTGAGTGGTTGGAAGGGGGCCAACAGAGGTGGGAAGGAGAGTCTGGGAATCGGGCTGCCAGCAGAGATCTCTTCCTTCCTCTACCACTTGGGCAGCAGCAGAAGTGGGGAGGCAGACAGGACTTATTATGACTCTGGCACAGGAGGAAACTGAGGCCAGAGACAGTGCGGTGCCCGAGAACACAGAGAGGGTGGCTGAGCCCTAGCCCAGTACGAGTCCCAGACAGGCCACCGGAGCGTGGGCCCGACGGCAACCACTGCCGTAGCCTCCCACGGTCGAGGCTCAGGATGCCCCACGCTCCAATGCTCCCTTTCCAGATGGTGACCGTGTGCAGGCCGTCGCCCGCTACGGTCACAGTGCTGCTGGCCCTCCTCGCCTGCTTGGGAGCGCTGGTCGACGCCTACCCCGCCAAACCCGAGGCCCCAGGCGAAGATGCCTCCCCGGAGGAGCTGAGCCGCTACTACGCCTCCCTGCGACACTACCTCAACCTGGTCACCCGGCAGCGGTGAGCGCTCGCGCCGGGCGTGGCCGTGGGCGTGGGGGCAGCGCCTCTGGGACTCCGCCCTTCGCCCCGCCCCCCCCCACCCGGGACCTAACCACGCCCCTTGTGACCCCGCCCCCAGGTACGGGAAACGCGACAGCCCGGACGCCCTTTTCTCCAAGCTCCTGTTCCCCGACGGCGATGACCGCCCCGTCAGGTCGCGGTAAAAGCGTTCCTCTCACCACACACGGGCCCCTGGAGCATGGCCCGGCCCACGGGACCTCGCCCTGGCACCCTCACTTAAGACTTGCCCCGGCCTCGGCCTCGGCGCTCCAGACGCAATTCCGTCCCATTCCCTCCTGTGGGCCAGAGACGCCTACCCGTGCGGAAGACCCCAAGGCCTCCGGGGAGCTATGCTAACTACACCCACATCAAGTGCATATTTAGTTCTGGGTAGGGCCCTCCGGCCACTCTCTGTGCCCCCTGGTATCAGGGCCCGAGGGCTATGTGTGGTCCATCCCTTGTCCCCAAATAAAGAGCAGATTTCACAGAAACTGAATGTGTGCGTCTGTTTCCTTTCCCTTCTCCTTCAAGGAGGTGGCCTCGGTAGGAGAAGAGAGTGGAGGTGCAAGATCAGGGAGAAGACTCGGTGCCCCCCCAAAAAAGGCGCCCCAAACTAGGCTGGGGTCGGGTGGGGCTCCCTGTGCTAGTAGCTGAACATAGATAGACACTGCTGCTATTCTGGGGCTGGACAGCGCCCAGACAAGTGACCTCTGTGAAAGGAACTCCAGGCAAGGGGGGTATGGGAGAGGGGTGGATAGGAGCTCCAGAGAAAGGAACAGGAAGAAGAGTCTCTGGAGACGGAGAGGTGGAGAGGAACATGCTAGGCAGCCTAGGAGGGTAACCCGGGACATAGAAACCTCGTAGGGCAAAGATGAAGACTGGTATAGGGCCGGGCAAGATACCAACACTCTAGGATTGTCCCCCTGCTCCCCCCAAAAGCTGTACTACTAGTCTCCGGGGCTGCAAAGTCTGGAGGTTAAGATGGGATCAAGGATGGGGCTGGGGAGGAAAAACCATTTATGGGGTGAGGTGGGTGTGTCGGCTATAGAGGTAGATCAAGAGCTCAAGAGCACGCCTTTAATTCTAGCGGTTCGGGAGGCTGAGGCAGGAGGGTTGTACTTCATGCCAGCCTCAGCAATTTAGCGAGGCCTTAAACAACTTGGAGAAACCCAGTCTCAAAATAAAATTAAAAGGGCTGGGGGTGCTGGGGTTGTGGCTCAGTGGGAGAGTGCTTGCCTAGCATGTGTGAGGCACAGGATTCGATTCTCAGCACAACATATAAATAAATAAATAATACAGGTCCATTGACAACTAAAAAAATATTTTTAAAAAGGCCGGGGTGGGGCAGGGGCTGGGGTTATGGCTCAGCGGTAAAGCACTCTTCTTGCATGTGCAAGGCCCTGGGTTTGATCCTCAGCACCACATAAAAATAAATAAATAAAATAAAGTTATTAAAAAAAAGGCATGGGGGGGCTGCTGAGGATGTAGCTCAGTGGTAAAACACCCCTGAGTTCAATCCCCTGTACTCCCTCCCCCCCAAAAAAAAAATCACTTCTAAGGAACCTGTCACCTGAGTAGAAGGAACAATGAGAGTGTGGAGGTCACTTTTTCTCTCAAAACCCTCCTCCCCACTTTGTTGAATGTACATACAGTGCATGAGTCATTAACTGTGCCTTCCTGGTGACAAGACTATAGGGATACCTTCCAGTCCCCTCCACCCCATGGGTGTTTCAACTGGATAACCTGATCTCAGACACCCTTCCTTCTCGTTCATTCTCCCAGGAAGCCTGCCTTGGTTGGCCCTGACCTATACTCTTTCTCTCCTCTCTGGCCACTGAACTTTCATGGCTACTGCTCTGTTCACTAAGAGACCTACCCATGTCTCTGTGTCCTCCCCACACCCTGCCTCTATGGTCTGAGGGCCCCCTAAAGGAAAGGCCTGACTGTGGACTTCCTCCAGTTCAGCAGGACCTGCCTAAGTCCGAGGCAGGTGGCTGGGGGATGAGAGGGAGAATCAGGCTGAAGCTGTGTCCAGACCCAGACAGGGTAAGAAAGGCAGGAAGGCTGGGCGGCATTACGGGGGCGTAAGGGCCATGCAGGCCTGTTTGCAGACAGGTGACCCTGGGAGGTGAGAAGACTCTAGGCCTGGCTCTGCTCTGACACAACCTGCACTAGGGGGCCACCCTCCCTGATGCTGTCCCCCAGCCTTTCTTGAGGTAGGGCCAGCAGTGTGGGACAGAGGACACTGGTCCAGGGGCTGGAATAGGCCCTGGACTGTATGGATTCTGATGCTCTGGGCCTTTGCCCAGGCCACTTGCCCTGCAGGGAAAGCCCTTTTCTTCTCTTTAGCCTAAAATACACCTTTGGGTAGACGTTGCCTCCCAGAAGCCATTCTTGTTTCTCAGGATGGAGTCTGTCTCTCTGGCTTCTCCATTTTGCCATTTCCTGAGGTCCATTCCCATCCTACTTCGTTTCCTGTCTTCTCTCCTCTGTACCAGTTGGGGGAGATGGGCACATGCAGTGGCGCTTGATCATGTGTAGTTGAAGAGCCAGGGGAGTGGGAGGACGTATCTGTGTGTAGGTGTCCATGATCCTCTGTCTGTTGGTCTGTCTGGGAGAGCTGTGGTAAGTTTGAGGCTAATGGAAGAGAACTGATATGAATTATATTCATAGCTGCAGACAGTTTCTGCTCAGATAAGTCGGTTGACCACAGTACCTACACGTGGCCTCTCTAGCATGAGGCTCTCAGAGTAGTTGAACCCGTGTGAGTGCTCCATGATTGCCTTTTCATACAATAGTCCCCTCTGTCTGCAGGGATAGGTATCAAAACTTCCAGTGGATGTCTGAAACCACTGATAGTACTGACCCTATAGTGTGTACACTGTTATTTCCAGTACATACATGCCTATGATAAAGTTTAATTTATAAATTACGCACAACAAGAGATTAAAAACACTAAGATAGAATAATCATAATAGTATTCTATAATAAAAGTTATGTAAATGTGGGTCTCTGTCTCTGAAAATAGCTAATTGGACTGTACTCATTCTGCTTGTGACCATGTGAGATGGTAAGATGCCCATGTAATCAGGTGAAGTGGGTGGATGATGTAGGCACTGTGTGGCAGCTTTAGGCTACTATATAAGGGTTACTTGGACAAAAGTGCTGTGATGCCTCTATAGCCTCTCTGATAACCCAGAGAGCTACTGAGTAACTAACAGGCAGTGTACACTACTTGGATATGCTGCACAATGGGATGATTCACATCCTGGGCAAGATGGAGGTGCACAGTATAAGATTTTGTCAGGCTACTCAGAATGGCATGAAATCTAAGATGGATGAATTGCTTATTTCTGGAAATTTCCTTTTAATATTTTTGGAACTTGATTGACTGCAGATCACAGAAAACAAGATAAGTAGGGGGTCTACTGTATTAGTTTTATAGAACTGACATAAAAAAACCTAACGTGAGGGTGAGGGAGGTAGTTCAGTAGTAGAGCCCTGGCCTGGCATATGCAAGGTCCTCATTCCATCCCCAGCAAATAAGTCAAACAAAACAAGAGAACTGGGGTGTTTAAAGGACTAGGGGCTAAATGTCTGAAATCAAGCTGTTATGCTAGCAGGATTTATTCCTTTGGTGAAGAAGGGGGCAAGGATCTGTTCCAGGCATCTCTTCTGGGCTAGAAGTTCCTCTATGCATACCTGTTTCTGTGTCCGAATTTCACCCTTTTTAAAAGGACACCAGACATATTGGATTAGGGGCAGATGGAGACTCTAGACTCAGATGGAGGGAAGTGTTGACAGGGTCTAGACTTCAAATTAGTGTCCTGAGCCCCAAATCAGGATAAAGTAGCTCCTGAGGGAGTAGGATGAGAGGTTTAAGGTGTTTGTGTGAATTTCTCAGCTATCCTTAGCCCAAGGGCTTCTCCCGGGGTTAGGGGATCCCATGGGTACTGGAATCTGAGGGCAGTCACACCCCAACCTAAACCCTGCTGCTGCCACACAATTTGGAAATAAGACATTGGCCTAAGAGTTGGACCAGGCTCTGGTCAGCTGAAGTGTCCTGGTAATTGGGATAGAGTGTAGCCCCTGGAACCACGTGGACCTGGGTTTAGTCCTGATCCCTCCTGTGGTCTTAGGCAACCTCAACTGCTTCTCCCAGCCTTGGTTTCCTGCCTCCTTCACCAGGTAATAAAGGAGCCTATTAAGATGACCTGTAAGAAAGGTCTTGGGGGATGGTGCTGGCTCACTGGCACCATTGACATTTCTGACAATGTCCTCATCTTTTAAACAAAACAAAACAAAACAATAGCAACCCAACCCCCACCTACTTTCTTGCCTCTGAGCTCCTTGCAGAAACCTCTCTCCTTCCCTTCCTCCTGCTCTGGACCCAGGAATAGATATACCATAAATGACTGATATTTGGCTGGGTAACTGAGAGCAGCAGAGACTGAGGTTAGAGAGCCCCAAAAAGGGGTGATAGAGGACATGGCCAAATTCCTGCCCTGGGAGCCACAACTATGAGGCCTCTTCCCTTTGTTCCTTCACCTGCCTTCATTTGCCCTGAGATCCCTGAGGTGTTCCTCTCCTGGTCTCATCATCACAGCACTCCCTCCGTCCCCCACACTGCTCCTGGGTTATTCTCCCTGCCCAGAGGACATGGGGTTGGGCAGTGGGAAAGGGGGCCACTGGCGCCTTCATCCTGTCTTTGCAGGGGAGTGTTGGGTGGCTTCCCAAGAGGCTCCATGCAAGCTCTGTGGGAACACACACGAAGACAAGCTTTCTCTGTTCTGGACATGACCATGCTATTACAGCCACTGTCCCTTCCTCCTGGATTGTCACAACATCCCTTAGGGGACCTTGTAATTTTTGTTTGCAAAGGAGAAAAACGAAAGCTTGGTTGACATTTGTGGAGAGCTATTATTTCTAACAAAGCTGGTTACATCTGTGACAGGACAGAATTATGAATGGCCCAGTCACCAGAGTCAATCCCCAGATCCACTGGCTTCTGACATGGTGAGTGGCCAGAACAGGTCCCACCAGACTACTGGCCTGAGGGAGCCCAGACCCTTTCAACCAGGGCTGGGGCCCAGCACCCCCTGGTGGTATTCAGCAGTCTCTACCCTTCAAAGGCAATGTCTGGGACCAGCTACCCATTGACTATCCTTGTTTTGTGAAGTGGAAAACCCAGGCCAGAGGAGGGTCCAGGCTTGCTAAGGTGGAAGGACCTCCATATTTGCCTTGTGAAATGTAGGCTATCTGGTTAGGCATCATTGTTCTTCAGGAATCAGAATTGAGAGGAGCCAGTCAGGACACTGATGGTTACTGAGCTTCTTTTTTCCTTCCTATCTTGAGATGATGGATATGATAAGGCACATTTTACCTAGATGAAAATAGAAGCTCAGAGAGGCTAAAGGAATTTTGCAGCCAGGCTCACCCAGCTAGCCAATGGCATGAGGCAGGATTGTGGTCCAGCTGTTCACCTCTAAGTCTATGATGCCAGATCCCTGGGTTTCACCTCCAGTTTTCCCTGGACCTGAACAACTTCTCCCCTCCCCACTCCACCCTGACATTTCTTGGTGTCCTGATCTGGGACAGCAGAATCTCAGAATCTCCTTCTCAGCCCTCAATGTGGACTCAGCCAGTACTTGTCCTTGGCTTGAGCTGGGGAGGGGTCCAGAGTTGGGAAAAGGACACTGAGCAGGAGAAAGACCCAGTGGGGGGATAGGCATCAAAGGCAGAAACTGAGACCTAGGCAGCAAGGAGATCTTGAGAAAGTGCCTTCACCTCTGTGGGTCCCTCCATTTCTCAGACAAAGCAGGACATGATAGCAATACTCTGACAGTTCCAGTTAGAAAACAGGTCAAATTTTGGAGATGGATTTTTTTTTTCCAAACCTTGCTTCTCCTCAGACTTTCTGTGTGGTTTGGGGCCAATTACTTAATATCTCAGAGCAGATTTCAGTTTCTGAGTCTGTAATATAGATTGTTGTAGGGATTCAGTTTGGTGACTGAACTGGGAGCACTTTGGACATTCTGAGACTTTCTAAGTGAGGCTGATTTTTAGCACTGCCCTGGGGTGAAACTCTGAGATGGGAGAGGAGATGGGGCTCCAGAAACTGACACCCCACCCCTCATTTCACATCAGTTCTCATTCTGCGGACTATTTGGAGAAACCAAATGGGTTTCTCCACATCTGGGTCCCCACTCCTGACCACACTGCCTGAGGAGCCCAGGTTCCTTCCCTGTTCTCACTTCATTCTGGCGGCACACTGGAAAGGAGGCCTGAGTTTCCCTCCTTCTTCCCTGCAATTTGGAGCCGTGGCCTCAACCTTGCACCCTGAGGGAAGCTGTTTGATCACTTGGGTTCACTTTGGGGAGGCTGCAGGCAGTGTTCCAAGACCTGGGACATAATCTTTCAGTTGCGCAAGACCCCAAACCTTGTCTTGCCTGAGTCAAGCCTCCTGTGATACCCAAAAGGAAGGGGACATCGGGAATGGGGGCCCACAGGAGACATCCATCATGACCCAGTTTCATCTGTTATGCTGCTAGTCTGGCTCGCAGAATGTTGCCCTGGCCCCCTCCTGTCCCTGGCTCCCTGCTGGCGTTGCAGGTACCAGGGAGACAGTGAGAGGAGGGGGTGAGGGCTGGGGAGTGAGACTGAAAAGAGGCGGGGACTCTGGGGGGCTGAGGACTATAAAGGGGCACAGCTGAGAGCAGGGGGACCCATCCAGCTTGAGGCAGGTGACTGCTTCCATCCAAGGCCCCTTGCTCAGGACTCAGGGTAAGTGGGCTCAGTCTGGCCTGGGCTCTGGGAGGCTCCTTGGGTCTCTGGTCTTGGAAGGAGTTGGTGTTTTCTAGGTGAGGGGGCCTTGAGAGACCTAAGGTACTCCTTGGGTGTGCTCTACATCTGGATAAACCAGCAGAGGAAGTTTAGACCCTGATTTCTGTCCTTTGCCTCACAAATTCATTTCATGTCCCCTTGACTTGTGTGTAAGTTGGAGTCTACTTTCTATAAGCAACCCCCCTTGAGTTCCTATCCCATTTATGCATCCTAAGAGCCACCAGGCTCTGTATATCATGTGTGTCCTCTCTACCCCATTTACCCTCATATCCCCGGGACCTTGTCTGCTAAATTATTTTGCTTTGTTAAGGCCTCTGAGCTCTAGCTACCAAGTTAATCACAGCTGGGGGGAGCAAGTGTCTTTGCTCTCCAGGGCAGTGTCTAGAAAGAGGTCAGTGGTAGGTGCTGGTGACCCATTGTTCTGTCCCTTGTCTCCAAGATTCGCTTTAAGTAATGGGTGATGGCTGGGCAGGCAGGCCCTTCTTCCCATGCATAGCCAGGTCTGCACACTGGCTTCCATTCTGCCTCCATCTCCCTGACCCTTGCTCTGCAGATGGCTGCTGTACACCGCTGCCTCTCCCTGCTGCTCCTGTCCACCTGTGTGGCTCTGTTGCTGCGGCCGCTGCTGGGTGCCTGGGGAGCGCCACTGGAGCCAGTGTACCCCGGGGACAATGCTACGCCAGAGCAGATGGCCCAGTATGCAGCTGAGCTCCGCAGATATATCAACATGCTGACCAGGCCTAGGTGTGTACTAGAGAAAGGGAGAGAGATCCTGGATCTCAGGGCGCTGGCCATAGCCCTATCCCCATTCCCACCCCTGTCCCCAGCCCCCTCCATGCCTGCTCTTGGGAAACAGCATCTCTGTAGAACAGGTTTGAGCCATGTCCAGGGTAGGGTGGTGCCTGAGGGGACGTCTGAGGCGGGTGAGCTGGCACCTGGCATGGTGCTTGCCCCAGCTGCCCCTTCCCTCCCAGGTATGGGAAAAGAGATAAGGAGGACACTCTGGACTTCTTGGAATGGGACTCCCCCCACGCAGCAGCCTCCAGGTAGGATTTGATCCCCTGCCCATCTACTCAGCTCTCTGGGGTAAGTGGAAGTGGGGTGAAAAGGGGCAGGTGAGGGTGATGGTGGGGAAGACGGGGCCCAGAGCAGTCCTCCTAAGGGCACAAGAACTGGCCCCACACCACCAGTTCTGCCCTCTCTTCACAGGGAGCTGAGCCCGATGGACTTGTAATGCCACCTCCTGCCTTCTACAGTTCCAGGGCAGTGCCGACCCAGCTCTCCTCTGCACCCATGGCTCTGGCCACAGATTGCTCCCTGCTCCTACATAGGCTCAATAAAGCAAGTCAATGTCATAGCTTCTTTCTGTGTCTCTGTGGGCCCCTGATGGGGGCAGGGGACAGGTGGAGAGCGGGGAGAAGGGGGAAAGGGGCTGTTGTAATGTCCAGGCCCACTCAGCTCTCTGCTTCACTTCATAGAGGGACAAATTGTGGCCCAGGGCAGGCAGGGACTCCCCTAAGGTCAGTGGCCGTCTTTTTTATTTTTATTTTTTGTACCAGGGATTGAACTCAGGCGCATTTAACCATGGAACCACACCCCCAGCCCCTTTTCCTTTTTTTTTTTTAATTATAGGTGGACACAATGTCTTTATTTTAATTTATGTGGTGCTGAGGATGGAACCCAGTGCCTCACGCATACTAGGTGAGCTCTCTGCCACTGAGCCACAACTCCAGCAGCCCCCTTTTCATTTTTTAATATATATTTTTATTTAGAGACATGACCTCACTGAGTTGCTTAGGGCCTCACTGAGTTGCTGAGGCTGGCTTTGAACTCGCGATCCCCCTGCCTTAGGCTCCCAAGCTGCTGGGATTATAGGCATGTGACATTGCACCCAGCTGAAGTGGTGTTCTTGAGTGAATCTTCCCATTGCCACAACTCTAGATCTTCCTGATCATCAGCCTGATTGGGAGTAACCCTACTCCCCAAAATGTCCCCCCACAGTATTTTCCTATGATTGTGATGTAGGTGAAGCATTCATACTAAAGAGTCCTGGGGCCAGGGGCAACAGCCCAGAGAAATGGTGCAGTGTTATGACAATCGCCAATTATGTTGAGTGGTCTCACATCTGCTCTCTGGAAATATGAGGGAAATGGGCTGTCCTGAAAGGTTGTGAACTCCCAGGCACCCAGAGGTATTTAAGCTGTCGCAGGAAGGGAGACTGCAGGAGGGATGAGGCCTCCCAGGGGGGAGGCTGCATTAGTCAAGAATGCTAGTACCTCCATGAGTCCAATCTGGATTCTAAACTCCAGGCCTGGGGCAGAGATGGGGTGGGGACCTGGCTCCTATGGCAGGAGTTTCAGTAGTCCCTAGTGGCCTGTCCCTTGCCCTTCTCAAGTGCCTTGAATAGGTGGGGATGGGCAAGGTGTGTGTGTGTGTGTGTGTGTGTGTGTGTGTGTGTGTTTGTATGTAAAAATGGGAGTGAACAAGCTTGTCCCTTTCCTGGGAGCTCCTGTGGATAAGGGACAGTCATGGAGACTGGGGAAGAGTGAGAGGCAGAACTTTTCTGGTTCCCAGAATAGCTTCTCCTGCTTCCTCCACATGCTCAGTCTGAAGGGTGGGAGCCTATGGGTTTGGTGGATGAGTGGTGCACTTTCCTGGGCTTAGCACCTTGCACTGATCCTGTGGCCATGACATAATTGTGTTTCTGTCTAGTTGCATAAGTGACCTAGATGTGGAACTGAGCCCTAAAAGGCAAAGAGCTTTTACAGGATGCAGCTGCTGGGCAAAGGCTTGGCCCAGGCTGATTCTTACATCCAAGGGGTGTTTGGATGGAGGACTGCTGTAGGAGAAGACCCCAGCGCAGGGTCTTGCCCCCTCTCTGAAGCCACCTACCTTCCACCAACCTGCCCACAATGCACCCCTGCCAGGAGGGATGTGACCTCCCAGGGAGGAGGATGAAGAAGGCTGAAGTTCCAGTATTTTCTCTCTTAGCTAAGGTTCTGAGTGGGGAGATGTGTACACATTTCCTAGAGGCATACCTGGGTGTGATAGGTGGATTGGTGGGAGGGGCCTCTGCCCTTGCCCAGGCCTTTCTGATGGACACAGCCCACAGACCCAAGACAACTGGGCCATTCTGACATCCAGGTCTCAGGGACAGGCCCTGGCCAGGCTCCTTTCCTTCCCTGCCCTTCTCACTGCTGGGGCTGAGGGTCCAGGAGGCTCTGCTCTGCTCCCTGAGGGTCAAAGGCATCTATGCTTGTTCTTGTGCCAACACTGTCACCCCAGGTTGCCATTCTAAGCTGTCCAGTTCTGGGCAAAAACAGTGTTGGGTCTTGCTGAAGCCCCTGCTTCCTTCCAGGGCTCTCCCTGGGTTTCACCCTGGCAGTGGTGCATTGTGGGCAGGTTGGTGGAAGGTAGGTGGCTTCAGAGAGGGGGCGAGACCCTGCACTGAGGTCTTCTCCCACAGCAGGAACCCCAGTGACCTGGTTTCCCTTTGAAGGTCTTCCCTGCCAGTGCCCAGAGAAGTCACTGAGGAAATACAGATTGTATTTTTTTATTGCTCTCGCTGAGGAGTTGAGGCCCCTCTCACAATGTAAAGTGGTCGGGTGGGCGGTGACATCTGAGCCAGGTGCCTGGAGGTCAAGGCCCATCCTGGAGAAGGAAGTCCCCTGGGCCCTGCTATCTCCCTCCACCCCTGCCCCCAGGAGCTTCCTCTTGCTCTCACCCAAGCTGCCCTTGGTTCCCAGGTCCCCGACGAAGTGCCAGCAGTGCCCCAGCTCCCCTACCTGGGGCCTGGGGACGTGATCGGTGGTCCTACTACCAGGGTGCTCCGCGGCTGGGACTTCGTAGGGCTAGCCGTAAGGAGTTTCGTGGCGTTCGAAGGGGGAGGTTTCGTGGCTTCTGTGAGCTTCTTCAGGTTTTTAAACTTCCCCAAGCTAGGGAACAAATCTTTGCAGAGATCATGGGGCCGCGATGTGCGTGGGGTGCCAGGTGTCTCCCTCCCACGCCGCTTACCTCCCTCCCGCCTCTTCCTCCCGCGGCTTCCTCTGCCCGCCTACCTGTCGTTGAAGATCTTCCCAACGTACTTGTTGAAATTCGCCAACCAGTTGAACGACCTGGGCTCCGGGAGCTCCTGCGGTGCCTGCTCCTTGCCTAGAGCGCCCTCGGGACGTAGCAGCAGCGACAGTAGGCACACCAGCACTACTGCGCACGCCCAACGCTGAGCCTGCAGACCCGGCGAACAGCACCCGGCAGTCACGTGATGGCCCGGAGGGGTTTTGCCCAAGCGCAAGGACCCGAAATTACAGATGCCAGGCGGGATGGGAAAATAGGGGTGCGGGGGCACCCAGACCAAGGGGTGTGTCTGCCTCTGGGACATACACAGGTGTATGTGCGCTTTAAGGGACATCCGGTTGCCCATGGTGAAAGGTGCACATCTGGACGTGAACAATGATGCACACGAAACACCGAGATCAAAATGGACAGGGAGACCCGACCTGAGATGGACACGTGGCGTAGAGCCATCGGTCCCTCCCTCACCTCATTGAGCTTTCTAGCAAACTCCTTGTTCACCCCCTCTCCAGCCTCTCCTGCTTCCTTGCTGTTCCTCAAAAACACGGGACAGACTGCTGCCTGCCTGATGCCTCTTTAACCAGACATCGGTAGGGCCAATTCGGTTGCCTCCTTCAAGCATCAGCTCAAAATTCACCTTCTGAATGGGTTCCACGCTGACACCCCTATTTATAATTGCAACCCAGCTCCTCTTCTCGCTCTGCTTTTCCCTACTTACTATACTCTGTTTGTTATATTTATTGACTGAGTTCCTTCCCAGCCACACCTTCTGCCTCAATGTTAAATGACTTTATAGCTGGCCTTTTACCTGTTTTATCTTATTGATGTAGCTCAGACACATAGAACAGGGCCTGACACTTAGTAGATGCTCAGTATTGCATGTTAAATGATTATCAGTCCCATACAGCAATGCCAACCTGGGAATTCTGCTCCCTACAACCCCACCATGCCTAGAAAATTCTGCATCTATAACACACAAGCGCATATAAAAATTCAGACTGTGATGCCCATAAATATGATACACACCTACAGAGTCCCTGAGCCTTTCAATGCTCAACCAGGAACTCTTCTCATCCCCACCACCCCAAGCAGGGACAGGAAGCCCTAGCAGCTGTCTTAGTAGCCAGAATGTCTTTCCTCCATCATGCCCTTAGGGGGTCTGGGGAGGGGCCTTTGGTTTTAGCTTCCAGCCCCAATCTCCTGGAGGATACAGTTGACAGGGACCCAGACTTGGCCACCAGACATTACCATGATGCTGGGAAGGTGCAGCGACACAGCAAAGGGTCTCTGGCCAGGACCTATGAGGCCCTTTATAGTCCTTTGGATCCATGACCCCATCCTTCTCAGGCTCCACCTCTGGTTTCGCTTCCTGCTCCAGTGTCATGACCTGGGAATTGGGAACAGAGAGAGGGTGGGGGTGGAAGCACATGGGCTGCCAGCTGTCCTGACCAGGGCATAGTCCCTGCCAGGGACCCAAAAGGGTGGGTGGCAGAGGCGAGGAGGCACTAAGGAGTAGGGTAGCTTTTTGTTCCAAGATCACAGATCCTAGGGAGGAACTGTCTCTGGGTTGCGGGTGGGGTGATTGTCATTTTCCCAGAGGCTATTGGGGTTGGAAGGGAGCTGTGCTGTGAAATGAGATGCCCTTCCCATCCCAAAGGACTCCTTTCCCTGCAGGCCCCCATGTGGGACCCCAGAACCCCTTGCTCCTTCTGGCATGGCCAGTACTGGGGGCAGGGAGTTGCAGTTTCCACCTGGGAGGTGGCAGCCCCACTGCCCAGTCTGGAGATTTCCTCAGCCTGCTCAGCCACATTGGAACCTCTGCTAATGACCTGCTGAGGCTTCTGGAGGGTGGGGGAATCTTGGCTGCTTCAATGATGAACCAAGGCTTTAGGGTACTCAAGCCACAGAGCCCTAGCTCTGTGGCCTGGAATGCTCCCTGCCTTTTTTTTTTTCTTTTGAGAGAGAGAGAGAATTTTTAAATATTTATTTATTTATTTTTTAGTTTTCGGTGAACACAACATCTTTATTTTTATGTGGTGCTGAGGATCGAACCCAGCACCCCATGCATGCCAGGCGAGCACGCTACCGCCTGAGCCACATCCCCAGCCCTGCTCCCTGCCTTTTTAAAAACATTTTTTTAGTTGTCAATGGACTTTAAAATTTTATTTATTTATTTATATGTGGTGCTGAGAATCGAACCCAAAGCCTCAAATATGCTAGTAAGCCCTCTACCACTGAGCCACAACCCCAGCCCTGGAATATCCCTTTTATCTGCATAATATCG